AAGACCATTCGAATGTGAACTACACATGCTATGTGATTGATGTTGAGGCATAAAGAGTAGATATAATGCGATAAGATGGGCCATTGTGGTGCATTCATAATGTTAATCGTATTCGTCTCTCTTTATATTTTGTGTTTTGTCTCGGTCCTATATGGTGACTAGATTTACATTTACAATTGAAAGCGGGTAACGTAATCAGAGTGAGAGGGAGGGCGAGATTCCAAAAGCTCCTTGTATTTCGGTAGGCATTAGAGATAATATCTGAAATGATAGGAGGATAAGAGGCGGACGACACACTTTGTCCATTTGCCCAAATTACCTTTCCCCCCGAGACTTAATGTTTATTATATTTTTTTTACTGCTAACGTCATTGTCTTTTGGCTCTTCATACTTCTTCTGCTCCTTCTACTCTTCTTCCTCTTCTTCGACGATCCATTTCAAGTTTATCTGACGGTCGGCCACACGCATTCATTCCCTGGACGTCCGATGGTGGTCGAAGAAGAAAAGGGACATTAGGTGACATTAAAAGCGAACGGAAACAAAGCACGATTTAGTTGTCCGCATTAAAGCGGCGACCGATAATTCATCTTTGAAGAGGTGCGGGGTACCAGCAACAACAATGGACGAGGACGAGGAGGAGGGATAGACCATCATCAACAAACAACATGGGATTGCATAATAGATCACGAGGAGCGTTCGCTTTCGGCGCTTTTGGTCCCTCCCAGCGTCTCTCCCCCTGGAGGCTACCAAACGCTACCTGAATCCTTAATCGACCTCAATCAAGGTCCACAATTAAAAATAACTTTTCTCTGCTCCTTTCCACCCTGCTCTTTCCACTCGACCCATTATGCACGTACCATGGTACGCCTTGAACTTCTTGCGCGTGTGTTTATCCAGACGATATGGTCACCATATGCCAGACTAATGGCACCAGCATGTTGCAGGCAAAGCGAAAAAAAAATGAGGAGAACAAACAACAAAAATAAAACAACGTAAAAACTACGAGAGAAAAAAATGTACGGTGAACGTGATTTCGGATTCAATTGCATCAACGGAAAGGTGTTTGATGATGAGGCGAGTATGAGGATTGATGGTTTCAGCCGTTTCGATGCGCGTCGTCCATCCGGAGATCATTAATATTAATCAATTCACAAATTAATTATATAACCCAACCCCGAAACAAATTACATGGATTAGTCAAAGAGGAAAGCTCGCTGTATATAAACGTTTTCTTCTGATATGTTTTTTTTTTTGTTCGTGTCGGTTCAGTTGGGTGTAAAGTGCCTTTTGGTTCATTCCAACAATTCGTTTCGGCCCAGACGTAATTTACTTTAAAACACACCTACCCTACCAGCTCTTTTTCCGCATTTTCGTTTTGTTCTTTCTTTTGCTGTATGAATACGCACGGTCCTCGACCATATGAGAAACTTTCATTACTTCGTTCCCGGAACTTAGTTCCTTCCTTGGAACTTTCCGTTGACCCCATTTCAATATTTGTTTCACTGTTTTCGTTTCGGATTCAGTTACGAAATGTATTTATTTTTATTTTCAACCGAGATAGATATTCTTCTTGTAGCACGTGTTAACAAATTTTGAATATTAAATTAAATAACATAATGTAAACAATAAACGATAATCGAATATTGCAGCTTAGATAGAAATGTTAATCTGAAAGCATTGAAACGTTTAGGTAGATAAGAATATTTACGGTCTTAGCAGATTAAAGAGGGACTTAAAAAAGGATTTAAAAGACTAAGAGTTTCTTATGATTTAAAAAACATCTTATTGGTATTAAAATTATACTTATTAATGTCCAAAATCATTTCTGTCTCAAATTAAAATTCTAATACATCGCTGTTCCAAAAATATACACTTATTCAGGTCAAAAATATCCGAAAATAAAAAAAAGTTGCAGCAAACATTATTATGTTGTTTTGAATATTTTTTTTTTACAAACCAAGACTGACATAATTTTGGCTAAATAACATAACAAAAACTAAATTCTAGTACGAATTATTATGTATTTTTTTAATTTAAAGAAAAAAATATATTATAATGATTTGATATCTTCGATAAATTTAATTTAAAAATTATAGGTTTATTAGATATAGATGTTAACTTAATTATAATAATGTAATTCTAGTAGTATACCTTGTAATTAGTTAAATTAAAGGCCATATCCACATGTATTTATTACATAAATTCCATTTAGTTACTATTTTTTTTAATAAACATTACTAACAGTAACAACAGTTTTATACGTTTATTATCGTTATTAAATATTTTTTGATTTCTCGATTCTAAGAAATTACTTGGCCTTCAAGCAGATGTGTAATGTCGAATACTTCAAAATACGTATCCAGAAGTAATTGACGATATTTGCTAATGATTATTTAACATGTAAATATTAAAAAAATGCGAAGTGACAATTATATAAGAATTGTGCAGCAATAACGGAATAATCGAGGAACTAAATACATACAAAATAAACCGCACAGCAAGATATTTGACTGTAAAGAGAAAAAAAAAACATTTTTGAATAAAAAATAATTTTGTAATAGTTTTGAAATTGATCAAATCCGCATTTCTCAAAACGTAAGTAATATACCAACCATTATTCTGGATTAAAATAAGAAATATTTACAATGTCTGAATAACAAACCGCAAATGGTCAGTTACAACCTTATATAACAAATAGAAACTTCTTTTCGTATCGAATGTTTACGTGCGAATTGCACACGAATCCATCTTTTGCAACGTAACGCAAATTAAAGATTTTAATTTATTACTAAACAAACTAAATTCTATAAATATGAATTGCGTTAATTTTGGATGGAGACACGTGGGACGATTTTTCTTCTTTTTTTGTTGTTGTACAAATTATGAATTCATTATCATCGCCGTATGATTATTGCGAATTTCTGAGGTCGAACAGGTGCTAATTAAATAGTATCGACCTCCGATTCGATTCGTTGGAATGGAATGCATTAAATATGTAAACAAATTTCGATTGCAGTGTTTAGCGGAGCCGATAATTACGTTCCGCGTGTTTTCCCCCATGAGTCTGAAATTAATATGCATTATTGGATGATTTGCGTTTGAAACTAAATACAATGTAGGATCGTCTTCCTGCTCTGATGGCAAAAAACATTGTTTCTAGTCGTCATTCAATATGTCGATTTCTCATCGAAATCGATACGAATTTGAAACGTGTTTATTTGTTTGCAAAGCAATATCCATGCGGCTGCAGGCATCCTGTTTCTGCTGATTTGTTTTCATACTGATGGTAAATAGAAACATATCGTTAAATCGATATGACATCAATAATCGTATCGAACTTGTTTTCTTTTATTATATTTTGCTATTTATTTAGTTTATAATTAAAACATGAAGATAAACTAAATTCAAGATCCGAGAACTATCATGTACCTGTTTTGTTTTAAACTACAATTATGTAAATTAATTAAAATATTATTAAAAGTAACAATTATACATTTTAATATGTTACTTTTAGGTATTATTTTAACCAATTTAAGTTTTTTATTCTTTTGAGATCTTTTTTAACAATTTTAATAAGTGGTCTGTCTTGTACTGTCTAGTTTGATCATTTTAATGTGTTACTTTCTTTTATTTTGTTAGAGCACCCTAATTTATTTATTTAATTTAAATTACTATTTTCATGTACGTATAAATATACATTACATAAATAATTAAAGATTAAAAATGAAGAATTAATCAAAAAACATATATAACTAAAATAAATTCAAAAGCAAATAAAATACTTTAAAAATATTGTTTATTACTTTTGGATTCAAATATTTAAAAAAATAATATTAGAAATAAACGTCAAATAGCTTTGCAAATAATAATTAGTAATAGTTATATTATAATTATGACTAATTGATCTTGTATTACCAATATTTATTATTTAAAGTAGGAGTCATAATTTCATTAGTTTGTCTCCAAAATGAGTTTTTGTTTAGAAATTATTTTATCTACTAATTCAATATATTATAGGTATAATCAATAATTCTAATATGATTTTCTGCACTGATTACTTCTACTACTACTGTACACCTATTACGGAATTATTACATATGCTATTATATATTAGCTAAATTTTATTGAGTATAATTTAAAATATAACTTATATTAGACTAAATATTCATAACCCAATGGAATTTAATGTTTTACAAATAAACAGAGTCGGCGCTAAACTGGGCATATGTCCAGGGTGGTAGATGCCAAGGGTCGGAAAATTTTCATGAATGTATACAATTTCATATTATGTAGCGCGTAAATTACATGTCTTGTCCAGGACGGCGTAATCTCTTGCGCCGGTCGTACAAATAAATTTGTATAATAGTCTTTACATAATAAGAGATTTTTTTTTACTTGATATACGTTCAGTTTTTTTATTTATTTATAAGAAATATTTATTATTTTAGATATTTCTTCAGTTTTCTTAATGCAATAAACATTAAATTATACAATGCATTTTACCATTAGTTTCAATGTTGTTAAACTGACAATTAAAAGTATCATATTTGCATAAGTTGTCAAAATTCTACACATTGTTTTTGTTACTATAAATTAAAATGGTATATGAACAGAAGGCAATGAAAATGTCATTAGTAATTTGTTTTTAGCTGCACAAAACAAAAAGTTTGTGAAGTGTCATCGTGATTATGTGTTTTCGGTGGTTTCGATGCGGATTTAATGCGTTTGATGTGCACGGCTGTGTGATTATTAGCCAATTTGGCCGTTCCCAAAGCGTTACCAAATCTATTTTTTTGTATGCTGCTGCGGTCTGCAATTAAGCCTCGAACAATGTTTTAGACTTGCGGTCCACTAACAAACAAAAAACATAGAAGTACAATGTAGTAATTGCGTTTTGTTGTGCAACGCCTGCTACATAGGTTGATTGACCTGACATTGTTTTTTTGGAAGGTTTCGAGATCTTCCCAAAATATTTATATATATATTTTTTTTGTATTCAGGTGTTATTGGCGGCGCCGGCCTTGACCACCATCTTGGTGCTGCTGTGCTTTCCACCGACGACAGTGTCGGCGCTCTGCTTGAAGGATCAGTACCTGAACTACGAGCTCCAAAAATGCATGAACTGCACAATATGCGAAAGCAAGAATCAAGTCGTTTTCATCCCGTGCCAGGTCTACAAGGACACCCAGTGCGCCCCACTGGGTATTCTTTTGGAGTACCTCAATTCGCAGAGCAAGAAGCATCGCCATCAGAACCATCGGCACAGCGGTGTCCACAGGTCCGAGCATCACAGACACGTCGGTGGAGAAAGTACCGAAACGACGATGGCAGGCAGCGCGGAACCACCTTTCAACACCGCCGAAGAGCTCATCTGGGATTGGCAGGCCATAGCACTCACCTGCGCCGTCTGCTCCTGCATAATCTTCTTCTTGGTCGTCGCTCTTTACTCGCTGTACCAGGCCAAGCAGTGGAGGCGCCTGAAGGTGAACTACGAGGCTGGTAAGTGAAATAACAACAACAGAACGAATTTGGGACGGTGAAACCATCGGTCTGCCTCGTCTGCTGCATACCAAATCATTTTCGCATAACCATTTCTGGTCCGCGCTTCAATACATCCATCATCGCCAAAATCATCTACCTCATTCATCAGCTTCAATTTACCTATCCTCCGTAATCCATCGTGTTGACCTTTCTGACCTCGCCGTCTTCGCGTGTGTATTTGTAAGTGTATGTAATATGTATTTTCTTTTCACACACAAAAGACGATCAGTTATTTTCTCGACTTCCGATTCCCCAGCTAATTAAGAAACCTGCACACGGATTCGTAGAGATACGACCTCCTTGTCGGCGAGGAAGTGACGTCCAAGAACCATACACTACGCTAACATTTACGACTCGCTATATACATACACATTTATATACCACATATATACATCCTACATTTATGCATTAGGGTGGTCTTTCGCCATTTACCTATACAAATTACAAACATCATCTTTCACATTTTATAAACACATGAAATTAATAAATTATAATTACAATATCTCTGAAAAGAGGCTCAACTTCATTAAACGTTAGGTCAGTACTAGCCAATACCGTAATTGTATAGAATAGTAATAATAGAAACATATCAAATAATATAAACCGTTACAGACATACTTTTTTTTTTAATATTAATAACAACAAAATTATTTATTTACATTTCTTACTACATTTCATAACTTATAATTAACAAATTTGCTAGTAACGAAAAAGAAAAATTACTTCCATTAAAAAGATGCTGTAAGTGATCTTTGTGTAAGCTAAAAATAATTTTATACGAGTTGCTTTACTGAACATTTGTTTTGCCAAACTTACTTCCAAGACGATTATTACCTAGAAATTAGTTTCCGTGCCAACTCTATTTTCAATTGTTTACCATTGTCACTTTTATTACTTCGATAATTGTTAATATATAATTTGTATTCATAAATTCATTTATATTATTAATACTAATATTTGCTTGTATTTTCATCTTCAGATCAATTAGTTTATGTTGTATTACAAATATTATTTTGATATTGAATCGCAGAATGTTAAAGGAAAATTAATTAGGTTTACATTATTATTAATGAAAATCTATTAATTAGATTTTCACACTAAACAAAGAACATGTGAATTGTTACAAAGATCTCTTGATCATAATTCTTTCCACTCTAATTCAATTCATAATTTGCTAAATTTAATATTATATATGGATTCACATAATATTTTATTAGAATATTACAATTGTTTTAATATTCACACTAATTGCATTGAGAATCGTAGTAGTTCATAAACTACAGTTGTTATATTCACACTAATTGCATTGAGAATCGTAGTAGTTCATAAACTACAGTTGTTATGTTCGGTTATTTATCACATTTTGACATTTATTATTATGCAATTGTTTTTTTCTTGATAAATGGTAGAACCAGTTTTAAGCAACTTTCACGACTAATACATGCAATAGGTGTATACGTGAATATTTGGGATTTTTTTATCCGTTCGGAAATGTTTTTTTCCAAGAATTATTTCAACTCATCCAATCTGCTTTGGGGCATTGCTTCCCGTTAACCGATTGATTTCGAATCTGGCACAGAATAATTACACATTAATTGAAACTATATCCAGCAATGAGGCCACGCAATGCCGACGAAAGGAAACTTAAAAAAAAACGCAATAAAAAAATCAGAGTTCAACATAACGTAACAAGCTATACATTATCACCCCATTAAAGTTACGAACTTGGAGATGCACGGCGTGACGATGTGTATTTATGAGGCAGATTCAAGAGTCGGGAGCTACTGTAGGGGGGAAGGGATCAAATTGAATGCGGCCACCCCCGTCGCGTCGTCTGTACCGTTACTTAGGCGGAAAGTTAGGTCCTTTTTGGTACCTTTGAGAATCTGAGCTTGGCCTTTCAGCGGAACCCATTGTGAGGCACGCCGTGTAATTAAATTTAATAAATCTCATAAATTCTTGCAACCCCCACGAACCTATTATAATAAACATGCATTAGGTTATTTCATAAAAGGCTCGTAAACGTTCCGGAAAAATTGTATACTCGGGAAAGAGTACCGATAAATATTTCATTCTTCTCCGATTCGGAAACGCGCGATACAAAAGGTCATGGGAACGGTGCTAAACATTCCTAATACTTTTTCTTCCCCTTTGACAAAGTGTTCGACAATAGAACGTCCTGTGTTTACAACAAAAATAGTTGATCATAAATCTCAAAGTTTATACGGTCATTGTTTTCTACATGCTTTCCTGGCACGAAAAATTCAATGTATGCTCTTTTCTTAAGAATCTTGCTTGAAATACTGAATGAAAAGAAGAATATGTACTTTACAATTTACGTCAAAAAACATTTCCTGAATATGTTTAAAAAAAAAACTAAATGTGTTTCCATAAACCTGTAACAATAAGTAAAGTTTTTTCTATTAAACATTTTTATTTAAATAATGGAAACATTGTTATAAATAGAACTACCTTTGACTCTAATTATTTCTTAAATTTTATCCAACTGTTATTTCATAATTTTATACTATGAAATACAACAATAATTATAATACTAAACGTTTTTTGGATTCGATCAAAATATCTATAACTCGAAAAGTTGATGATTTACTTCTATACTATTGGATATTATTACTGTTTTCAGTTTTAAAAATTAAATATATTTTAATACATTACTTATATAAAATAAAACATCTTCTCTTATAATCTTAACAGGAAAATGTTAAAAACTAATAAATCTTATATAAATTATTGTTAAAAATACTAATGTTCTGCTGTAAGTATTTAATAATGTATTTTTTGTTTTATTATGGAAGCAATGACCGTAATAATCTAAAAAATGTAACTAATTAATAAAAAGCATGAAATTGAAAGATTTAATTATTCATCCGGAACATTAATTTTCATTTGAATTGATTTTAAATATAAATTAATGTATCTCTATTTATTTTATCGACAATGAACATAATTAATATTAAAGGAACATTAATAAACCACCGAATGTAGACTAAATAAATAATGTGCTCTCGTTAATAATTGTAAAATATATATGCTGGTAAAATATTTACACAAAAATACATTAGCGGAATTGAATTCTCTTGAAATTACAATTGTTTATTTTAAATTGCAAATTTAATTAATTGACTTGCTAAAATATGCAATTATTGCTGTTTCTTGTGTTTTATTTGATTACATATTGCTAGTGTTAAATTATTCATGGAAAATTGCATTTGTTACGATGTGAAAATACAGTTGGTAGTATTTATGAATGATTTCGTTCCACTGTTTCATAAACTGAAAATACTCGTAAATAATTATTAGAAGCAAAAGAAGTATACAAAAAATGATTTATTAACTTTACTGGGTCTGTGTGTGCCGCGAAAACATAATTCATTCATTATTTTCTAATAAAATCCAAAGCATAAGCTTTTGTGGATGTTTAACAAGATGTTTAAAAGTGCCTTGAGACAAGTATGATTGAAAATACTATTGGTTACTATTTGTGAAATTATTGTAATGCTCAAAAATGGATTTTTGTGTAAGTTATAGGTACGTTAAAATGTTATATAATGATGTTTTTGTATAGCGTTTAAATTTTCAATGACGTCAAAATAAATAGCTACTTGCAAACGTAATGTATGCAGTTTCATCACTTTTATCATTCGAGGATAGCCGTGAGGGGAATACAGATTAGTTTTCACTTTAGCATAAAGAGTCCAGGAGCTTAGTTTCACCTCGCACATGAAGCAATAACCAGGAGTTTTTAATTAATGCAGAGCTGATTATACACGTTGATTGCACGGAGTTATGTTCACGTCTTTGATACCATTTGTTTATCTGTTATGCAAATTTAATAAATGTATTGATTTTAATGTTGATCGTAAAAGTGATTTTCGAAAAGCTTTCTCTTCTAATTTCAATGCAACACGATGTGGCAACGACTTAAAAAAAAAGAAACTTTGCCTTCGAGAGATGTATTACATATATTTGTTAGTTGTAAAGTGTTTAATTCGGTATTCTATAGAATACCTAGCCTTAGGCTACAAATTTAAAATGTAAAATTTGTGGTTTGGCTAGGTTCAATGTCTAATATACAATATCATTATTTACGTACAGCCAAATGTTACGAAGTCTTCTATAGAATTCGAATTACAGTGAAAACTCGCTTAACGAGTTTAATCCGTTCCAATATTTCCAGATATTTGCTCCTATAGTGAAATACTCGTATAGTGAAACATATTCAAAAATGCACATAATATGTGTACACAAGTTTTAAAAATGATGTAGCATGCGTGCAATCCGGGACTTCTCATCGTCACTCGTTATGCAAAACGTCGCTCGTTAAGCGAAATGGTCTTTATGCGAGGTGCTCGTTAAGCGAGGTTCCACTGTATATACTTTGTTGCTATAAAATATTGTGATGTATAGCGCATCGATCATTAAAATAATCGATTTTCTAATGCGAAGATGAACATAAGAAGGATGTCTTTGCGTTAACGATAAAGGGATGATGACGGGAGAAGTCGGTAGCTGCCGAGTATCGAGCAGGAATAACAATATGTCGGGGATATGGTAATTCGGGTTCGTGTAAAAAAAATTCAATCCGTCTCTTCTGCTCTTGCCTGTATGAGATATACCGCTACGATAAATTTCGCTGGGACAACGTTGAGGATAATCGGATGTAAATTTATTCGGAGATGCGTCGGTGTTGCGGTTACAAATATCCACTACTGTCTGTCGATGATGTACACGAAATTGTACGAGCTTATTGTCCGCTCCAAATATGGTCGAATCGTGTTTTAAGGTAAACCGCAAAGAGTTTGTTGTAATTGGTGTATGATGTTTGTTTGGGTCGACTCGGATATGGGTCAATAGATTTGAACGTACGGATTCAAAACAACAGGATACAAAAGCCAATTGCTAGAAAATAATTATAACATGAAATGACCAAGCGCTAC